TTTAATTATGTATTGACTGAACCCTATCTATGCTTAGGACCAACATATATAGAAAATGAAAACGGTATAGACATGAACTCAAAGTCGAACAACATCCTACTCACTTCTATTTTGGTATCCGTCTTCATGTCTGTCAGGGTGCTGGATTTAGATTTGTTATGCAATATTTCAGTTTTCTAGGATTGAATGCTTACATGTATACGAGTATCTTTTTTTAACAATTTCATTTATCTTAATGGAGGTTTTACTGTGAGATATATTAATTTACTTTGAAATTTGTATTTTGACGTCTTAACTATGACATGCAGTTTTCATAACCTCCGAACACCTTTCAAAATTCCAAATTGTTTACTTTCGCCCAATGTTTTCTTGTTTGGGGCAAACGCGTTCTTTTATTTTGGGATTTTACGCCGCTTTTCGTAAAATGGCACGAAAGTATCACATTGAAGGTCCCATGATAACCGCCGTATGAACACATTTGAGGATGTTTGTCCATTTAAAATTTCATCATTTTCATGTTTAAATGTTGAATTCCGCAGAAACCGGTGCTTGAGGCGTGAAGGGTAGATTGCAAATAACACTTCCGTCCATGAACAGGCTTAATCAAACCGAGCCTGCAACATTTTCAAATTTGCCGTTTTTAGCGTTATCAAGGGATTTTCCCTTCCTTTTGTATTTCCTATAATAGGTTCGTCCATTTAAACTTTCATACTTTTTTATCAAAAAGGTTTGTATAATTTTTTTAAAATGTAAGTGCATTTGTTTTATCATGCAAAATAAGGATTTTCGAAACTTATTTTAAATATTTGTGAATTGACATAAAGTTGTTTTTTTTTCTTTATGCTTAAAGAACAGACTGAACATTTACACCTTATGTATTTTGTCATCAACAACACATGTATATGACATTGTTTTTAGCTATGGTGTTTTTCAACAATCCCCCTTTAAACTAATAAATTCATATAGGTGGACAAATTAATATTCTCTAGTTTTTCTTGGCGTAATTGAGGATCTTCAAAAGCTGTTATTCCCATTTATGTTTTACTGTCCTTACTTAATAATTTAACAGAGTTGTACTTTAAAGCTGGTAAATTTTCAGAATAAATCCTCTTTTACTAGTTAAGTATGAAATGTATCCAAATCTTTCAATTATATGCATTTGATGAGCAATATTTGAGTTTTTCTACTTTTTACCTTTTACTAATGCAGCAATAAATCTAGTCTTTGCCACTTGTATAGAGTCACAGCCATAACGCTTCCCCTCAACCGTTCGATTTCGGAGTGAACATCACATTAGAATGCTTTGTCCTAACAATGTTCATTACAGGTTTGATTTCAGAGTGAACAAACATATTTAAAATCATTTGGCTACTAAGCAGCCGAGCCTTATATAATTATGAAAAGCGCATGATTTACTGCGGAATGTATGGTGGCTGATTTGTGCCATTCGTGTTTTGCCCCGCAATCCCGCCAAGCGAAAAGTCGAAAATAATCAAGTTTAAATGGCGGGGCCGCGGAGCGAAACACGCTAATTGGCGAGGGCGCGGGGCAAAAACACGAATGACACAAATCAGCTACCATAGGAATGACACGATTTATTCTGAGATTCGTCCATAAAAATACAAGTACATAAAAACGTTCACATTCATCAGCTGTACACTAAATGACCAATCTTAAATTTCTGCCTTTGTTGCAAAACATTTTATTTACATTTTCTTCAAATGAAAAGACAACGTTTTCTTATCTCCGCTTACAAATAGACTGTGCAACTGTCTGCAGTTTACCGAGATTTAATATCGTGGAACCAGGCTAAAATTAAATCATGCGTAAACACGTTGTCTCCATGCACCTAAAGAGGATTTGTTTCGCATTTGGACAAATTGCATCGGTGTAAAAATGCATTGCACTGTCATAAAACATCTGAATTTTTCAATCTACAGTACTATTTGTTGACTTTTAGAAACCAGGAAACATGTTCGTTTTGATCTTTCATATGCTACGTTTATGCTTTATCGTTGGTCATGTGCTTATTAAAGGTTTATATATCGTTTATTCGGGATATAATTAAGTAATGTTCAAGGCATTATGACAAACCATTATGAGCAACACTGTCTATAAATAAGACACGTCATGGTGTCGGATTCCTTGCACATTACGACATTGACCGAAACGTACCCATCTTGTCAGTGCATAGAACGAGTACTGCTTGTACTGACGTCATGAAACTTTCGTGTCGTGACGCTTCCACTTAAATTTCAACAAATGTGCATATCTAAACAAGCATTCGTCCAGGTATGAACTGCACAGCTGGCCATTCCTTCGCAGTCATTTTAAGCGTAAAACCTAGCTTGTTGTCAATTTTTACATCTATTTCAGAAACTTCTGGGGAAAAAAAACGGAAAAAAATCAAAGTTGATATTTTGTCATCTGCCTTTACTTATATCAAGAAAAGGACACATATCCCGTTTAAGAGAAAGAATTGTCAAGAAATAATCCCTTTTAAGCACATTCATGAGCTAGTCATAATAAAAGGAAATGTCTTTTTGTACATCAACATGCATTTCCTATTTTCTTTCCGAAGTAACCGTCAACATTTTGATAAACTGTAAAGAAATGGATAATTATCACAGTTAAAAATTACCTCATTGGAAATGAGTAATGGTTATGTAGTATTTTTCACTTTTGACAAAAATAAAATGACATCAATAAAATACAAATAATTATAATAACAAATAATAATGTTTCTTAGTCTTATATAGTTAAATATTACCTCACTGGCAGTTTGATAATGAAGTATTTTTCACTTTTGAAAGTAACAAATGACATATATACAAGATAACAATAAATGCAATAAACGAAAGAAATAAATTTTAGCCTTTATAAAAATACCCATTAATATGACTATATGAGTTTGAAATTCTATCAACACTGATAAATGAAATAAAAACCTATGATTATCATAATTATTACAGAGTTTCTAACATTGTATGATATTCCTAATTTACTGATAATCTGGTAAACTGCTAAACAGTAGCCTGTCAAGTTCCCTGATAACTTACCTGCTCAAAGCTACGGTGGCATAAAGGTGACATGTGTGTGATTTTATTTATCCCGTGCGCACGAGTTACTAAGTCGTGGCCTCGAGATAGTTAAGTTTTGGAAATGAGATATTATATCGGGGCACGAGTTACTAAGTCGTGGCCACGAGATAATTAAGCCGTGGGCACGATATACTATGCCGTGGCAACGAGTTACTGAGTCCTGGGCACGAGATAAATAAGTCGTGTGAACGAGATACTGTGTCGTGGCCACGAGTTACTAAGTCGTGGGAACGAGATAATTAAGTCGTGCGCACGAGATAAATAACCAATCAGATTACACTATGTATATGTATTTTCCTAATTAACTAGACATGTACTATAGGACACAAGGATTCCCTTACTTCACCTGCCTGTAAAAGTGCCATTTATGTAAGTAATTGATTGGTTAATGATTTTATATTTAGCGTAATTGTGACTCTGATTTTTTACCAAATGACCTCAAAATTATTAGGTGTCATCTACTGATCAGGTGCAATGATCTTCCTAGGTTATATAAACCATGGCTTATTCCTTCTTAATTTTTCATCAGACAAGGATTTTACATGACGTGTCATGGTTACTTTGACCCTTGACCTCAAACAACTTTAAAGGCTATCTACTGTCCATGGGAAATGTCCCTACCAAAACAAATAAACCAGGACTTATTCCTTCTTAAGTTATCGTAAAAACAAGGTTAACAGGCCGTTGTACGTACAAGCTGACCAATTCTATCACAGAATTGTCCCCACAAATGGCTATAACTGAGTCAAAATTAATGTCTGATTGATAGGCCTTGGAAGGTGACTTTCTAATATGATCCTAAAGACATGGATTAATTCTAAAGTGAATATATTCAGTATTTTCAAAGATTAATGTTGCATGTCAAACTTTAAACATAACTTTTTCTAAGTTTTATTGTAGTCTGACATTTGATGCCCAATAACAAATTCAAGACGAACGTTTAGTGCCCAATAACAAGTTTCTAGAAAGAAAGAAAGAAAGAAAGAAAGAAAGAAAGAAAGAAAGAAAGAAAGAAAGAAAGAAAGAAAGAAAGAAAGAGAAGTAAGAATATTAATTTCAGTTACACTCTTAGTTTCAAAGTTACCTAGTGCTTTGAGAAACTAATCCGTAGTGTTGGACAAAAGGGCTTAACATAAAAATAATTTAATTAGTGAAAATCAAATAGTTATGCATTTATCAAATAATGATTTATTCAAACAACAATAATCATAAGCAAAGAAGCTTTATCTTTTCATATTGTAAAGTTCAACTACTCATAAATATTGTTTTCAAAAGCATATTCGGTTTATGCTGTGGCATACTATACAGTGCTATATATGTCTCGTCCACGATTAACGTGATTAGAAGAATCTTACATTCGGCACATCCTTTGATTTTATCACTTAATTTAAACTCATTTAATAAATTCAACATGTAAGATCCCTCAATATGTATTTATATAAATAATCAATTGACATGATAACCAATAATCATTGAAACCCAACAACACATACGACTTAAAACGGAGCTGTTCTACATACACTAAGAATCTTTCCTCATTGATATGTGTGTTATCTCGCAATTCGCACTATACATGTATATGTATTGAATATATTTATAGGCGAATATATCGTCCTCCTTTATAATTTTTTATACAGAAATTCTACTCATTATCAATATTTGATACTCAATTTTATATGAAAGACCGAACAAGGCAATAGAATTTATATATGGCAGAGGAGTATAATTTATAGAAAAAAATGTTAAAAAATGAGCAGACGAACTCTATCGGTTACCCCACTGCAGATTGAAAACAAATCCGATTGGACAAAATAGTTTTATTTACTTCCGCATTCCGACTAGCGACAGTGACCAGATACAATATAATATTGTGTATAGTCATTGCAATTTATTATCAAAATGGCTGAATCCATTGTGGAGGCTGGTGAAGTGTCCGGGCGAATAAAGGAAATTCTGTGCCAACCGTGTTTGAACAAGGATAACCAAACGACAAAAGTTGCTGAAAAGTTTTGTTCAAGTTGTAATGAATTTCAGTGTTTGGATTGTTCCAACGTTCACTACACACACGCCTTCTTAAGAAATCATAAATTAGTGAACGCGAATGAGGCGAAAACGAAACAAGGCTCGTTTGATATGAAAGGGTTAGACCAATGTGATAAACACCGGAAAGTTCTAAAATTCTTTTGCGAAGATGATAATCAGCTCTGCTGCAGTACCTGTGCTATTGTTGAACATCGAAAATGTCACAGCGTTGTTGAAATTCTAAAGGTCGCTGAAAGATCAACCTATGGAAGTTCAACTTTAAATGCTAAATTGGAGGAAGTGAGACAGAAGGCAAACAATATCGTAGACAGCATTGTCTCATCAAAAGAGAAACTAGACGAAGATGCTAAAGAAATACCAGTAAATATCAGACGAATGCGGGACGAAGTAATGAAAATGTTTGACGAGTTGGAAATTTCCGTTGTAAAAGACGTTGAATTGTTTCAGAAAGAGACATTAGAAAAGCTGACAATTAGACAGTCACAGAACGAGAAATATCTGACTGATATAACAACGTGTCTGGAAACGATTGACAACGTGTATCAGAATGGATCTCTGGTACAACAGTTTATAGTAGAGCAGAAAATGAAGAATGACGTCAATGTTCTTCACACAAATGTAAATACAGAATGTCAAAGTTTAGAGACCGTAACTGTCACCTTTGAATTTGATGAAACATTAAAACTTCCTCCCTTGTCAGTCACTGATTATGTTCCAGGACAACTGACTCTGTCATTCTGTCTATCAGAGGTAGCAAATACTATAGTTCCTGTTAACAAAACAATGATATTAACACCAGTAAACTCCATTGATATAAAGCAGGAAAAGGATGATGTAAGAGAGCCATTTTATACAGGGATTGATTTCTTACCTGATGGTAGACTTGTTGCTGTTGATAATAAAATCATGAAATTCTTAGTTTACAATGAGAAGCTTGAGAAAGTTGCATCATATCAGTTACTTCATAAGCCACAATCTGTTGTCGTTGTGTCTGAGGAGGAAGTAGCGATAACAAGTGGACTTAAGTTAAACATTTTACGTGTTAACAAATCTAATGACTTAACTTCAGATATAACGATCAAAGTAACAACAAAATATAGCTCGATATTTATAAAAGATGATAAACATTTCGTCGGCGGGACAATTAATCATTCAACACCTGTTCGTATTATATCATCTACAGGAGAAGAGAAAGATTTCAATATCAACTTCCCGAACAAGTCATATCCTGTAAGGACAAGTGCTTGTACTTACATAAGGAACAGTGATAAAGTGGTGCTTACAGATAGACCCGAGCATACTATCTGTATATATGACGTCAAGACAAACACGAGAGTCGTGGTGAAGGATGATCAGATAAAGGATCCATGTGGTGTATCAATTGGTCCCTATGATACTATCCTAGTTTGTAGTAATGGAACAAACTCCATTGTACAGATATCACAAACAGGACAGATCTTATCATCGTACAAGATAGATATGGAATATCCGTACAGAGCATGTGTCTCACGTGATAAATCATTTCTTGCAATAACAAACTCATGTACTGGTAAGAGAAAACTACAGAAGTTTAAGATATCATATTGAAAATATGGATTTTGACATTTTTATGTTTAACAATTAAAAATCGTGATAAGTTATAAGTTTAAATAACAATATCAGAAGTTGATCATTCTTTTTAATTTATGCAAGTTTATATTCTAAAAATAAAATGTACGTCTTTGTAGTAAGAATTAAAAAGAAAGCAACGTGTTGTTTATTACTGAAATATTACAGGTAAGTCATTATCGATATTACATATAAATTCATTAATGAGTTTTAGTCTTATTATTATTTATGACATCTGACATTTTGAAATTTTCTTCCGCATTAACAGCACCTATTAACTACTTGCTTACATTCTTATATGATGAACAAAGATAACATGTATCTCATCTTAAATACTGCCATTACCATGAAATCAGCTTCTATTACATACATCATTGTTTTCATAAAGAGCAGATTCCAGACGTATCGGTACTACATACCTGAATTTGGCAAAAATTAAATGTACTTAAATACGCTAAAGTAATATTTCGTTCAACATAGCATTCTGTTTTAAAACCAATATTGAATAACTTTTTTAGAGTGTAAAATGTATAATAAATGATAAACTTTGTATTACAAATGTAATGCATCTCGATGGTTGTACAAGTCAAAATAAAATTCCTATCATGTTTATTTTCTTGTTTGTCATTGCTAACGAACAATATTAACAATATTTAAGCTCTTTTCTTGTTAAAACAGTAGATACAATGTCAGCTTTAATTAAAACTTATATCTTTCCCAATAAAGATAAAAATGAAAACTTTTAACTCCTTTTTCTCGTATTAAAGAAAGAAAGAAATCTTTATTATGTGACTGAGTATGCTAGCTGCACATCTTAGTCTTGCAGAAAAATCGCTTATCTTGTTAATTCTTTGTGTCCGGATATTTTATTTTATAATTATTATGTCGTCTTCAAAACATTTGGTTGATGGCTAGAAAAATATTTGCGAAATCGCGATTCGTTTTATTTTTGAATGGTAGAGTTAAGCAGTTTACAAAACAGTATCTTGCTGATTTTTTCTGTCTAAGTAGTTTTTTCTATATCAGTTGCATGAGGTTGATGTGTTTGTAGGACAAGTAAATTCTTTTGAACATACTTAAGTAGTTATGTTAATTATGTTGTTGTTTTTATATTTGTTTATTGATATACATTTTACATATTAACATGCTTCAATTGTATTAGCAATGAAACGCCGTTTAAACATACGTCATTGTTTGAGCATTCCTTGATTTTTAGATGTTGATTTTTAACCTAAATTTATAATCATGTTTTCTCGGGAATGGTTAATATCTTTATTTAAAATAAAGTTCTTACGATTAACTAGATTGATAGCAATAACCATCTCTTAGTACTTACTTACATTTGTACTGTGAGTAAAAAACATATCAGGTATAATATCGATCTATTTGTCAACGTAAATTAATCATGGATTCATTTGCCAAAATAACTGAAACATTAAACTTGCTGAATTCTGCCATTAACCTTTGCACTTAGAAACCTATGAGCTCAAAATGAAACTTAATGTATTTGATAAACAGGGAAGAAATTATCTAAATTAAAGCTAAAATGGTAAACCTTATTGCTATTGTCATTTGACAGTTAAAATAATAATGACATCATTTAACTTAACTCGGAAATCAAGCTTTTTTTTCCTGAATCTCTGTTTTTGACATGATGACATATACGGATATTTTACATTATTTGCATTGAATGACACACGTTTTGCTCGAAATCACTCTGTCTTAGATGATAAGTAATCTCATGAATAAATTTAGAGGCTTGTCCTTGTACCCCAAAAACATTTGCAAATGTTACTGTCTCATTGATATAATTTTACTATTATATGTTCCGCTACATCAATTTTAACTATCTTTGAATTGTAAACTAAAATGTTACTTTGTCAGTAACATCTTCCTTGAAGTCAGCCAGAAATATAACAAGATCTTTGCCAAACGTTTTATTCATTATTGATGCATGAATGCAGTTATTTGTTAATTTTTTAAATACCATAATACATTGAACTATTCAATATAAGCATTAAAATTTTATATACCAAATTATCCGGAGATCTTATTACCTTAATAAATTGATAAACAATTGTAACCTTTAAACTTTCTTTATTCTATTATTGTTCCAAGTTTGGCATGTGGTATGGCTCTGACTGACTGCTAAGTACAATGTAAAAACACTTTTTACTTAACAAATGCAAGTAGCATTATGGCAAATACAAATATAATTTATCAAATTTCTTGATATTCTTATACAAATTGATAAAATAAGCACTAGAATGCCATAGCTCGGACCAGGTTCGAGCCCTGCCAAGGACTAGGGCGTTTTTATCAAGAAATTATATACGGGACAAAGGTATAGAATGCAATTTTGTGGTATTTGGCTTTCCCATTTATATAACAGAAGAACCCCCTAAGGCATGGCCCTTGTTACTGGGTCGGGTGGGGGTTGCGTTCATTGAACGCCGCCTTTCCTTGTTGATCTTGTTTATCATATTAAAAGGATTCTTTAATAATTAATTGCTTATCCTCTGGAATGTCAGAAGGGAAAATCTTCGGATATCGACAGATATAGCGTCCGGATGTCGGAAAACTATAAACTCCGGAAATCGAGAGCTGGAGCCGGATATCGGTCTCCGTGTTCGCAAAGATGGCCGACCATCAGGTTATGGCTCATCTTCAAATATATTCATCAAGCTAAAAAGTAGCATTGCACGCCGGTTACGGACGTGTATATATATCAATACAAAATACCATTCAGGTATTTAAGAAACCCCGGAATTCGGTAGAATCAAGTATGCCGGACTCGGACATGCGTGTGAAACATAATATATATACTCGTACAACACCGGATTCGGATGCCATCATCTACCTTATCACTATATTGGAAATGTAACTACATGACAGATTGTCAAATTTGACGTCAAATACTTAAAGAACATATCTTTGATATCGATAACAATATTGATATATGATTTCTACTCTTGCATTTTGTTAAATACAAATTATCGAGTCAGTCAATGACAAGTTTAGTCTTCAGGAAAGCACGTAGCAGAAGCAGCGCCATATATGATTGCATTCAAACCGTGTTTGAGATTGCTTATGAAAATATCATTTCCTGCTCCCGAAATAATATGAACATTATCTCTGTATAAATATTTTCGATTTTCTGATATTTGTGGATATCTTATATAAGCACCACCGGTTTGAATGCAATATTTGGACAAAATAGTATTGAAACGCCGACGGGCTTTATTGAGTTTTGTATGGTTAATCTCATTGCGCCAAACCAATCTCGGTAAAATTTGAGACCATATAATTTTGATATTTGCAGCAACTGATTGTATTTCTTGTATGGTTTGAATAGCTAGCAGTTCAGTGTTATTTAACGGACTTTGTGCAATATCGTTTCCTCCGCAATGGACGACTAAATAGTTAGGTGGTATGTGCTTACCTAACAAGTCAAAAATCAAATCTTACAAATAACAAATTCGCATTCCAGGTTGGAATTTCCAAAATATGTCAACCCCTGGTAATTGGAAATTCACATTTTGTGTATGATAGAAGGCCCGATCATCCAAACTTGTATGTTAATTATAATTTCAATAGATTGACCTTTATAAACTGATATAGGTTTTTTGAGCGTTTGACCCCCAACGTCCAAAAGTACGAATATCATTCCCCGGGATCCCTTTATTTTTCAATATGTTACTCCTCCTATTCTAAAGGGGTGAGTTTGGAAAAATTATTTTTGTGACTTAACAATTAGAGTGCTTTTCGGAGAATTTGCCTAAACTGATACTGTGCCAAAGGCTAAGCATGGCACAAGTATTGACCATATATATTTGGTCTAATCGTAGCATAATATAAAAGAGCATCTTTTAGCAAAGCCATATCCTGAGAAAATATACACGTATTGTGGCTCCATTCCTGAATTGGTCAGTTTTTGACAAAGCTAAATACAGTTGTACATAGTTTGGAAAGATTGTTAGATTTTTATATCTAAAATCTAACTCACTAACTCTTAATAACCCGAACCTTTGTTGTTAAAGTCAAAGCAAGGCTTACTGTACAAGTCTAAAGAATGGTTGTTTGTCATGGCTAGAAACCATAACTCGGCATCAACCGATGACCATTTTGTACTTGAATGTTGTGCTATTTATAACGAAAAAGCCGATCATATTTTCCCCATCCAGCCGGGTTTAATTTTGACGCTGACCTGATTGTGTACATGTGTTACAATATTGTATTAGATCTCTTGCTAAGAATGGATTTTTGATGAGAATGATACTCATATATATCATAAAAGCATCTGTCAAGGGACAATATGTCTTGCTTTTTCGTTGATTGGGTTACATGCAGTTGACCATTTATAAATTTAATTATTTGAGGTTTGGTCTCTTGCTTATCTAATAAGGAGCAACATTCTACATATTCGCCTTTCCATATTTTTTTTTAACGACTGACTTATATGAATAGAAATAATGTACAAACAGAAGTCATAAAATTATTACCTGCCATTTGCAAGGTAGTCTAATGGCGACCCCCTGCAATTATCGACACCCGCCCCTAACTTAGTTCCGTTTACTATCATTTAGTCTATGCTTTATATGACGTGTACAAATATACATGACGTCAATTATTTTTCACTACCGCGTTCTTTTGAACTCCAAACTGATTCTGTATCGAACGTTTGTTACTATTGATAAGCTTCTTACTGGGCGAGTTTAATAAGGTAGATGTATCATTTATTTCACATCCAAATGCACTAAAATTGTGTTTGCTTACTGATATTTTGTTATAAAGTCATTGTAAACATCCACAGCTTCCATTCGGCTCCATTTTGATAATCTCTAACAAACCTGCAGTTGATCACGTGGGGGTCGATAATAGAAGATAAAAAAAATATGCTTTCTGCATTTATCGACCCCCTCCTCTTATTTTTTCTTTGAATTCCTAATCAGTTACAAATTATTTATCATTTAGTGATTAACCTGTCCGTGCTCTGTCTTTGCCCTGTCCTGTTTTTGTTTGGGGTTCGCCTTGGTACCTTGTTGCTGGGTCATGGGGGGTGGGGGATTGCGTTCATTGAACGCCGCCTTTCCTTGTTGATCTTGTTTATCATATTTTAAGACTATATTTTGTATATATACTGAGGTAAAATTACAAAATAAATGTTTAAAATACTTCAAACTTTGGTTTCAAGATTATATTATTTACGAACAAATAGATATGGCATTGTCATCTGTATTAATTTACGGCCGAATCAAGTGTGTGTCGTTATCGTCTCTATCTTTTACACTGCATCTAAAGCATGTCAGTATTTTGTGTATATCACCACCCCTTCTTCTATTACAGATATGTCGTCCCAGATTAAGTAAAGAAAAGGGTAAAATACAAGCCAGAGCAAATAGCCATGACCATACATATGATAAAAACTAGAACCATGAGCAAAGAATTGGCTACAAAAACATACGGTGTACCTAAAACCACCTTACTTGACAAGTTAAGTGGTTGTGGCTCCAACAAGGCCTAGGAAGCAGCCGAAGAGATGACCTTATGTTTCGCTTATGCATGAAATCGGTTACCCGGTTACAAGGAAAGAACTCCTTAGAGAAGTAAAGATAATACTTGACATTGATGGAAGAAAAACGTCTTTTAAAGATAACTTACCTAGGAAGGACTGGTTTTCAAAATTTCAGAAACGCCATCCTGAAGTTTCTATGAGGAAACCCATGTCCCTATGCCATGAACGAGCCTCTATTTCTTTTTCTATGATAAATGTTTGGTTTGAGGGTGTATTTGCCTTCTTAAAGACTACCAAGCCATGTTGAAAAATCCAAGAAGGGTTTTCAACGCTGACGAGTCTGGGTTTCCTTTAGCCGTCAAGTCAGGTCGTGTGATTGCCCCTTTGGGAGCACGTCACGTGTACCAAGTTGTAACAAATACAAAAACCCAGATTACAGTGATGGTCTCATTCAATGCATTTGGGAAAGATGTTCCTCCAATGATTTTATTCCCAGGGGAAAGACTTAGGAATGTTGGACTGTCTGGTTTTCCTGAAGCAACTTATGCCAAACCCCTAATGGTTGGATGGACTCAGAAACATTTGTCGAATTTCTAAAGCTTCTGTTTTCCTTTGCAAAGGAAAAAGAAATCACATTTCCCATCATTCTTTTTGTTGACGGGCATTCAACCCATATGTCACTGCCTGCAGCACAATTTTGCCACGATAATAAAATTATTTTGTATTGTCTGTTGCCAAACGCAACCCATGTGCTGCAGGCCTGTGACATTGGTCTCTTTTCACCTTTGAAATAGCATGGCAAGCTACTGTCACAGCCTGGCAGCTTGAGCATATAGGCCAAGCTTTGTCAAAAAACCAGTTTCCAGGAATATTTCGGCAAACTTGGTTCAAAGTTGCAAATTTCGAAAATGCATGTCATGCTTTCCGACAGTCTGGGCTTTTTACCTTAACTCCCAATGGCATAGACAACACTAAACTGGGTCCCTAAAAAATGGTTGTTCGAGAGATTGTGCCACAGGAAAACCAAACAGCTAATAATGAAAGGGAGTCAAATGTACCCTCAACAAGTAGCAGTGAAAATACCGTAAATGATCCTAGCATTTCTGAAAAAGAAAATTGTAATAAACATGTAAATTTGTCTCAGTCTGAGATTGCTAAGACAACTTCATGTTTAGCAGCTACTTGTAGTGTCGGCACTTTGCTATCACAGTCTATAGCTAGTGTATCTGTCTTATCTGTCTCTTGTACACTGTCTATGTCTGATACGTCTGTCACAGTCAGTACTGCAATGTCTCTATTTACAAAAGACAGTGTTTCCCAAAGTAATTCGAAAACTTCTGTTAAAGACCAAATTATGTGTCTCCTGCATTTCATCACCTCAGTATCCATGAGCCAGGAAAAAACAACGCACTACACTTCGCCAGAAACTACCCAAGGCAATTTCTGGTTCAGTGGCGTTACAAATGCTTAAGGACAGAGAAAAACAAGAACAAGAACGAGAAATGAAAAAGAAACAAAAATAGGAAGAAAAGGCTAAAAAATTAAAGGAAAGAGAAATTAAAAAGAAACTAAAAGAAATGAAAAATAAATCAAAGAAAAGAACTGTAAGTGATGAAAGTTCATCTGATTCTGACACTGAAATACACTATATGGACAGTGATGATTTAGAAGAGTCCTTTGATGATGACCTGGCAGGGTCCTGCCATGGGTGCCAAATAAGTACGGGGGATCCAAATGAATGGATAGGATGTTATGACTGTGCCCGTTGGTGGCATATTGCATGTACTGACAATCCCAATGTTCAGGGTCTTTCTCATTATGAGTTGCAGGAGATGCCATTTAAATGTTCAAAGTGTTGAACAGTCCTAGGTTTAAATAAGCGTAGAAACATGAAGTTGTGAAAGAGATTGTATAATAAAAGGCATCTGGTTTTGTTATTCCAAAACATTAAATCTGACATTGTTTAATTCTTGTTGTTCTGTCCAGGGTTTGAATATTGATATATGTTATATAAATTACAATGTAATGATAAATTCAACACAATGGACTATTAAATAAACTATGAGCATGTTTACCTTTTTATTCAGTGAAATCCGTGTTATTTGTGGTAAGAGGCCGATAATGGCAGATCAACATCATTCGTAAATGTTTTAGACTAATTCATCCCATTGTTTGTTACAAACCTTCTGATTGGCTTAAAACAGCCAATGAAAATAAACCTTCTTTGTATGGTAGGTATCGTGCCCACTAATTGCAATAAAATGTCAAGGTGTTATTTTATGTGCTAAGAGGTCGATAATAGCCTGTCTTGCTCTACTGAATAAGTATTCATAATGAAAATAAGAGATAATTTATCTAGACCTAGTTTTCCTATGCGCTATTAACAATGTCCATAACAAATTATTTTAGCTCTATATACACATTTTAAATGAAATATTAATTCTTGTTAATACCGTAAATTGACTTGTAAAGTGTCCCTTTTCCCTTTAATTCCCTTATGGGCCTGTTTTTGTTTATATTATTTCACATTACATGTCCCGCCCCTTTCGCCCTTGTGTCTACTCCAGGTACTTGTTTGGTACCTTCTGGGTTTCCTGCTTGGGTGTGTCCGGGGGCGGCGTCCTGTGAACGTTGCCTTTGCCTTGTTGATCTTTATTCTTGTTATTTTATATTCAAATAAAAAGATGCACAGACGCTTGGGGGTCAGATCCTGTCCCTCAACGTGATACGCCCCTGTAAACACTTTCATATATGTAAAAGTTGTTTGAAAACCATTTTTATCGTTGTAATAGATGTCCCATTAGTGTTTAAATATTAAAATAGTTTTGATAGAGTGTTTACAGAGGCGTATCACGTTGGGGGCAGGATCTGACCCCCAGGCGTCTGTAAAACAATGGTAAAATAATTAAAATCAGTTGTTAAAGTATTTTTGTAAGAACACTAAAAACGTGACCTGCTTCGCCTAAATCCAATGCAGAGAGAATGTATTCACGCGCCTTCTTGATGACGTCCTAATTTATGACGTAGATACAGCGTGGTCAGAACCTACATGCCCTGAAGAGTTGCCTCCCATAAGACTCCGGATAAAGTCAGATATTTAAAGACTTGCTTGAAATATCTGTACTTATATAAGGTAAATTCATTAGTCACTTAAGTGGCATGACAGTTTCGCATAAACGTCGGTACCGTCTTTTTTCTAAGGTTCTGAATGACCGGGTCACGTGAATCAGAGGGCGGAGCAATCTCTGGCGTAATGTCAATTGTATGAAAAGAGGGAATAGTGAACCATTTTTTATACCCGCTATCACCGGAATAATTTTTGTTAAACAATGAAAAAATATATGAAGTCTTCACATGTGTTGTAATACGTGTATTTTAAACAAAAATATCATCGAAATTTTTGTAACTGCTAACATTTTAAAATGATTTGACAAGTTAACATTATGAAGCAGTGAATATCTTCATATCCATTATTATACCTTGTTTAGACTGACGTATATCATATATCAAAGTTAACGAAATAGAAGCCTGTGTAGAAATTAACACGATACAAAAATTATCATTGGATATGTTTCATAATTCCTGCCGAGTTATATTTCATAGGTAGTATAATAATGCATGAGGCAGTTGTGAATAAAAGGAGAGCCTTGTATTATTTTACTTCCATACCTTGGGCGCGTGGCCGAGTGGTTAAGGTCGTTGACTTCAAACTACTTGCCCTCACCGCCGTGGGTTCGAATCCCGACAAAGACTTCGGATTCTTTCATTGAGCAAGCTATCCAGCTAGCTTACGCAGCGTCGTCAATTCTACTAAGGTGCACGCTCGTGCCTGAAATAATGTACGGAAAGTCGGGAAATAAAGCTGGAACGTCGGCATATGACCTATACTGTGTCGGTGTGACGTAAAACACAAACAAACAAACAAACTAACTAAATAACTAACTAACATTGAAAATTGAATAACTAATACTAGTGCATATAAGTCTAAACTACTAACAAAAAGATGTGTAGCAGGTTTATGTCAGCCAACAGCATGTTCGTTTACCAAACTTTCGTCAGAATCTGAAGTGAAAGTAAGGTGTCCAAGATGGCGTCAAAAATGGCCGTGAAATCCGTTAATAATATTCTAGAATATTCATGTTGGATAACTTCTCGTCAAAATCAAAGTTATATGCAACTTGAACGTATTTGCACATCAACAACGCCTGGAATTAGCATTTCATATTTGATTCCTTAACGAGGTTTCACTATCTTTGTATTCCAAAAATTAATATCCGATATCCGACTTACAATGCAAAAGCTATGGTCGTTCAAATGTTGATCAAATCTATTTCAAATTCATTAAACAAAATAAGTATCAAATTATAGGCTAGCGGTACATTTCCTAAAAAAATAGCTAATTATTATTTACAGGGATCCTCTTGGTTTTGATAGTTATCAGGGGACTAATTAAATAAACCCCATCTAATTCCGCGCTTAGAAAAATGTCGTTGTCAAATAGAAAACAGAAATATAAAAAAAAATATTATTTTTTTATTTCAAACGTTTATCCATAAACGTCATTATGCTAAGTACGAGGGTTGTCCCAAAATATGGTAGACAAAGTATGTAACTCAATCAATTATAATACAATAGAGTCCTCCAGCTAGGGAAAAGTCAATACACTTTTTATGTGTGTCTATGCGAAATAAAATCAAAATACCTCCAAAATTGACCAAGTTATCAATATTTAAAGAATGCTACCTATACATACCCGGCGCACGTCGTCATAAACGTCTATCATGACGTTATAAGATTTTTTGAAATGTTTTTCAAAGTATTCACCATGTTTCGCTATGCACTGTTAGTGTGGGGCGACCCATTTATCATAAACGGTTTCAAAACAGTCCTGTTTCAATGTACTCAACACTCGCAGAGTTGAGTTTCCTGACGGAGTTCGCTGAAGTTTTCGAACATGTGACCTCGTAATTGTGATTTCAAATAAAGAAACACTGCAAAATCTTAGGGCGTACGGAAGTCTCTGAAAACCTATCATCTAGTTCAATCTGTGTCTCCTGAGATCTATGGTAAGGAGTATTATCTTGATAAAATATAATGTTCTCCATGTTGTCAATTAACGCTGGACGCTTCTTCAACTTAACACAGTATTCAATGAGATTGCGTTGCGCCGCATTTTCATCTGACGTCGCCATTTTGGTCATTTTCAAAATAGCACTGCTGTTACGTATTATGCTACAGACTTTTTTCAAATTAACGTTACATAAACGTCTGTTGGTGATATGACGTAAAAATGAATGACGTAATTCCACATGAATGAATTTTCCATAATTATTATTATGCTAGAAGTTAAAGGCATTATTTTAAGAAGCATGCTCTCAACATTGACTAATATTTTATTGTGCTCCAGGTATGTTGTACTGTTAAATATAAAACCCTGATAAAAAGCGTGACCTAACATATTGGCTATTGACTTTAAGTAGGTAAATTAACAAATGACCAAGGAAGATATCTAGTAAATTTTATTAAGTTATGACGTCAGGTTGAATAGAAAATAATGTAGTCTACGACATTTTGGGACAGCCCTCGTACAAGAAGGA